TAGAGTAATAGGAGTGTCTTTGTTATTCATGGTGGGCCCCTTGGATCACTTGGTGTCAGCCTCGGTGGGAGACTGGAAACTATTAATAAGTTCAACCATGTGAGCAATCTACCAATAAATCCCAATAAAAACTGGACAGCGAAACTTAGGTGAGCTTTTTGGGCTGGCAAGACTCCATGAGAGAAGGACACATCCCTGAGGACAATGGAAGCTTCACCTCTGAAACACTTTCCAGATTGCAGCTCATGCATCCCTTCCTTTGGCTGGTTCTAAGTTCTACCTTTTCCTTATACTGAACCATAATCCATTAATATAATAAGCTTTCAGTGAGTTCTATGAGTCTTTCTAGCAAATTATCAAATCTGAAGGTAGTTTTAAGAAACCTGAAAATTATAGTCAGTGTCAGAAGTGAGGGTGGTCTTGTGCACTCTTCCCTCTAACTTTATAGTTGGACCCTAACTCCTTGCAACTTTTGCCTCGGGCATACTTGACTGTGTCTGACTGGAGAGCTGTGCCTTTGACCCCAGTTTAGCTAATACTGGGTAAACAGTAAAATATTTAAGCAATGGGTGACAATTAATCAATCTATATAATCTAGATTCTAGAGGAAACACTTTACTATTAATACACTGGGGAAAATACATTGGAGAAGACTGGGAAGAAACAGCAATGACAGTAGCGATGGTGAGGGACATATTTAGGAGATATTTATAAGGCAAAATTTGACTGAACGTGAGGAGGTGAGAAGGAGAAATCAAGGATAAACCCACTAAAGAGAATCAAGTTTTAGCTTTGTCTTCTGTGGGGGAGACAGAGAGAGATGGAAGATCAAATGCAGTTTCGGACAGTTTAATTTGAGAAGACTTTGAGACATCTGGATAGAGCCATTCCATTAGCAGTCAAAGCAAGGATGGAGACAGAGTTGGGAGCTATTAGCATAACTACAATAACCAAAATCATGGGAGAGACTAATGTTGACCACAGACAAATAAGCCAACCAAACTTGAAAAGGCCAAGGACCAAACAACAATATAAAAGGGTTAGGCAGAGTATTAAAAGCTCACAGAGAAGTGGCAGTCTAAGATGTAGGAGAAAAACCCAAAAATTATGGCTTACGCCAAACGGTTGATATTTTCTTTTTTTCTTCTACTTCTTACTACCTTTAACAAAAAAAAAAGGGGGGGGTTAAGGAATCTAAATGAGTGGCCTAACTCCCATCCATGTATTTTTTCATATATATACACAGACAAAGTTTAATGGCTTTCTAATCTATCTCAAAGTCATTAATGAGTCACATAATTCAATACAACTGAATTATTAGTGTCTATAAACAATGATTTTCTTTCCCAAGCCATTTTTAAAGTGGCCACCCTCATTACTACTGTAAACCATCTGTAAGTATTTAACTTTGCCAGGCTACCAAAATATCTCCCTCTCCTTGAGAAGTCCAACCCAGACTAAATGAATAACTGAGGAGACAACTGCTCTAAAAATGTACTGACATGTAGCTCTAATACAGACTTCAGAGTAATTGTTTCTTCTGGGTTAAAACAAATAGATTTATCCTCCATACAATAACATAGAGAAATAAAATACAGCATTGACCTATGCGACCTATCCAAGGTTATTCATATCTGCTATAAGATCAGCTGTAAATTTTATTTGAAATTATTTCAAAGCTATAAAATATCTTACCTCCACCTTTTCAAAGAGATCCATTAACTTCAAAAATCCTAATTTTGCATCATTAGAATTTATTTTACTCTCTTAGGGGGCATTTTAGTTTACAGAAGTAAAGGAGATAATTTTTACATGAGCAGCTGAAGATTCCAAATCACTGGAATTTTTAATTGACATGGAATAGACTAATTCAGTTAAACAGTTCTAAAGAACTGCCGGAATTTATTATTCATTCTTAAAGATTTAATTAGTTGAAACAAAACTGTTTAAATAGGCCTTTAAAAAAAAGTATTTAAAAAAAAAAAAAAAAGTATTTATAGCCCACAACAGAGATCTTTCTCATCCTAGGGGATTTTTAACATTTCAAATAATTTTTCTTTCAAAATGTTACATGTTTTTATCTAGTAGAGAAATATTAAGTACATATTTCCCATTAAGAGCAAAAACTCTATCACAAATACTGAAAAACTTTCAAGTTGCTAATTATAACTATATTTTGTCGATTTAAACCTTGATCCTTTACTTACCTAAGTAACTGCTTATCTCAAGCTAATCCTAAGCTTTGAGTTTACCAAAATGAAGAATGATAAATATATCTGCTGTTCTTAAACTCTGAGAGAAGCAAAATACTGGGGAAAATATTCACAACATTTTTTGAAGTAAAATTTCAGCCAGTGTATACATAAACAGTATTGAGAAAGTAAGCACCTTTATTTTTTTTCTGTAGCTTCATACTATGTATTTATAAAACACTGACAGAAAAAATAGTCTAGAGACTTGTGAAAGTGGTTCTAGTTTCTTCTTACATTAGTTTCAACTGTGAAATTAGTGAATATATATTTCAAGTAACTTCATTTAAGTATTTTAGCACACTCTGACAAGCATGACCATTTCTAAAGAATATTAAGAATTTCCAAAATAAAGAGAGAGTGGGTATCTGAGAAAATATTTTGGAAAAAAAAAAAAAAACTTCACCTTCCCCAAATTAGTAATTCCAACATATTCCTAATCAGAATGATCTCAAAGTGTTTCCTAGGAAATTTGATAACTCAACTTTTCCTAGGAAATTTGACAACTCAAGAGTTTTGAGGTTCAAAAACTATATTGAAAAATGCTGGAAAACCATTTGTACATAAATTGTCATTTCTGAATCAGGGTCCTCAGTTTTCTCTTCTGCAAAATGAAGCGAACAAGAAAATGATCTATCTCTACAATGTCTTCCAGTACTGATTCTTGTGGCCAAGTTGTATGATTTTCTTTCATAAATAATAAATAAAGCACAAAAAGTATGTGTTTTTAAACTGTGAGACTTTTAGGTTTTGGGGTTTTGGTTTTGTTTTTTTTTTTCAGTTTGTTAACAACCTTGAAGATACTTTACATAAGCAAGCCAGGCATTTTATATCTGAGTAAAACATAAGTTAATAGCTTCTGCACAAAACAGTATACATGATGAAATCTCTGATTTAAAGTGAAATAATGTTTTCCAACTTCAATTTTGCTAGTTTTACTTCAAATCTAAACTTCCTCAATTAGATGGCCATTTTATAATCTGAATACTTTTATAGTTTATACATGTATTGAAAATTTTGCTTCCTTTCCATGTGGCAAAACACACATCTACCTACCACCATCTTTATACAGATTTTTTAAAAACCTTGAATGGTACATATTCAAAGTTGTTCTAAACTAATGACTTTTTTTTTTTAAATGGACTTTCTCTAATGTTTAAATGCGTATTTCTTTAATTCTGCAATTGCATTTGTAAATGTAAAATTGTCGAAATAGTCTGATGCTGAGATAAATCTTTCCACTTCAGTAAACAATTCCATTTTATTTTAAGCAAGAAGTCTTAAGTGTCTATATAGTATTAAAAATGATATTTCATAAACTCTATTCTATGATTGTTTACAAACACTAGGAAGAAATATTCCTAAGATGTTTTTACATGCCATTTTACATTTCCCAAAAAGCAGTATTACTTTGGTAACCAGACGGTATTTCAAAATTGAAATTTCAATAGTGTATTAAGTATGGGACACACCAACACAGTCCACTTTTACAACAGGTATGTTCAGTGCTTTTTCCTATTGACAAGCTTCTGTTTTAACAGGAAGAATGATTTGATCAGGTGTCTGTTAGGTTGGAAAAAGACAAAACCTTTACTTTCCAGGTCCTTCTCTTAATCTAAGATTTTAAAAAAATCCAAGAAGTGATCTTAACTGCAGTGAATCTTGCAGTAGTAAACTTTTTGATGTGGACAGAGTAACACCTTTCATTACAACTATCAGCAGAAAGGCAAAAGGCTCCAGAGGTTTACCAGTGTTCTCAGAAACTTGTTAGTATTCTCTGTCATTATTTCAGAACAATTCCATTTAGAAAGAAACGCAATTGTAAACTGCTTCTATTTCAGGCCCATAAAAACTGGGATGAAAGGCAAAGCCTTGACCTTTCTATTTTAGACTTTCATCTGTGTAGCTAAGCCATCTGCTTTCTCTCTACCCCATCTACTTAATGGACTGAAAATACTGCACCTAATTGCAATTTTATCAAACCAGCCAGAGTTTTCCACTTTAACGAATTACGGCTCTGTCTTTCACCTGAAGGCTCGCAGGTAAAATTTTCCTTACCCGTCCCTCCCCATTTCCTTCCCACCTCCCCCAATTATGAGTTATCAAGTATCATTAAACTACAATACGAAGATTCCGTGTATTAAGCCATCTACACTTTCAACACCGAGCGCCCAACAGAAGAAAATCGACTCCAGTCTCCCCTCCTGTGGATCTGGGGCCGGGATTATCATCTTTGTTGCGGTTACGCAGGAAGCACCTAGCAAGCAGCTCCTGCCTAGAAAAGAGTCCGCGTCTCTCCGCCGCCAAACAGGGAGGGGGACTCGCGCCGGGAAAAAGACAGACCCGGGTGGGAGGAAAACCTCCAGGAGGAAGGAGAGGGCTGGGAAGAGGCAGCTCTCAAGACTAGAAGGAAGGACCTTCCCAGGCACCAAGCAGAAAAGGTGTGAGAAGTGGAGAAAGAAGTGGGCGGCCGGGGAGAAGCGGGAAGCCGGGGACCTGGCGGGAGGGCGCGGGGGGCGGCTCCCGGGCCCCGGAGGGAGGCGTGGGGGCCGCGGCGGGCGTGGGCACCTCGCCGCCGACCGCCCGAGTCCGAGCAGCGGGGGCGCTTCCAACCTCGCCAGGACGCCAGCGTGAGGCGGGCGGGGGGGATAAGGAGCGGAAAAGCGAGCAGTTCGAGCGGCAGAGGGAGCCGCGTCGAGGCCGGCGCGGCGGGGACGGCGGGCCACCCCCCGGCCGAGCCCCGCTACTTAACTATTTGTAGAGCTGCTGCAGGCACAGGTCCAGGCTCTCGCCCTCCACCTCCTCGCGGGTGATGCGCTCCGACAGTGGCCGCGGCAGCGGGGGCAGCGGCGGCAGCCGGGTCTGCGGCGGCGGCACGGCCGACTGCCCCCGGGCCGCCGCCTCCTCGCCCGCCGCCGCCGCCGCCTCCTCCTCCACCGCCTCCTCCTCGGGCTCGGGGTCTTCTCGCTCCTGCTCGTGCCCCCCCTCCTCCGACGCGGCCCCCGCGGCCGCCGCCTCCCCGGCTTCCTCGACCGACGCCTCGCGCGCCTCAGCTGCCACCAGTTCGGGCTCGGGCTCGGGCTCGGGCTCCGACTCTTCGGGTTCGGGTTCCGGCTGGGGCTCGCCGCCGCCGCACGGTCCGCGAAACTCGCCCAGGAATAGCTCCAGGAAGCGCCGGTAAGTTTTCTCCTCAGGGCTGCAGCCGGCCATCGCTGCTCATGCCCCAGGGCCGACCGGGGAGACGGGTGAGGGAGGCCCGCGAAGGGGAGGGGGGCTGCTGGCGAGCCTCCGGCTCCCGCAAGGGCGGTTAACGGCCGCGCCGGCACGAGCGATCAGCACTAGGTTGCCTGGAGAGGGCTCCCGCAGGCGTGCGCGCCGCCGAGCCCGGACGTGCGCGGCCCGGGGCCGGGGGGCGGAGCGCGCCGCCCCTCGCGGGTCTGGAGGGAAAGTTGGTCTCGGGCGCGCGCGCGGGGTCCGGCGGAGGCCCACCCTCTAGCCCTACGGAGAGCTCAGCCCGAGCTGCCTAGAGACCGTCGCCATGGCAACCGGCCTCTAAGGAGGAATTTCTGGGTCCCTCCCGTCGAGTCCACAGAGTCGAAAGGGATACTCGACTAGGTCCCCTCTCCAACTCTGAATGCCTTCATTGTGTGGATACCCTAACCTCAAAGTGGTTAAGAGGGAACTAAGACGTTCGCCCGGTCTAGCTGTTGGTCTCCCCTTGATTTGGATTCACCTCAGTTTTCCTTATCTGTCCTGTCATGTCTTAGGGTCCGTATGTGCGGAAAGATAGCACAGTGTGAACACCTTCTGTAGTCGATGACAGTAATTTAATAAGTAGTTTGCAGGGGAAGGCATTCAACATCTACAAAGGTAGGTTCCTTTGCCTTCATTCTCTCATCTGATTCTGTGAAGTGGTGTTATCCTCACTTCCCAAAAAAGAGGAAGCAGGATTAAGTACATTTCTTTTCTCAAGGTGTGGAAGCTCCTAGTCGTGGCATTGGAATTGGAACCCAGATTGTCAGCTTCTAAAGCCTTTCTAGACCCTTTTTCCTGTACTCTTCTCTGACTTGGAAGACTCAACAGTGTCTATCAAGCCTTATTTTTAAAAAGCTTTATAGTTTGTGCGTTATAGTCATCCCCTTAATTCTTGTAATAGCGCCTCAAGGTAGAAGGTATTACCATGATTCCATCCCATGGATGAGAAAACTGAGACTTCAAGATATTGCGATGCAACAAGGACTAAAAACAGCTCTTTTTACTGCAAAGCCATCAGTTTTCCAGCACATCAAGACACCCTTCTTGAGTGTCTGCAGGCAACCCACTCCAGTATTCTTGCCTGGGAAACCCCATGGACAGAAGACAGAAGAACCTGGGGGGCTACAGTCCATGAAGTCGCAAAAGAGTCCGACATGACTTGGTGACTCAACAACAAATATATACTTTATTACATAATCTGTATTTTTTGGTACATTTTGTTTGCTCTTCTTCCCCATCCCCCTGAGTCTCTATTTTTGTAGACTGAAAGTGAAACAACTTTAAATTATTCTAATTTTCTTACAAAACTACACACAAACCTATTATTTTCAAGCCTTACTGAGGGGAGTGGGAGAGGGAGAAGCGGTGTTGTTACACAGCTGTATAGATGACAGCATCATTACTGCATACTGCCATGGCCATGGCAGCATATAATTCAGCAAAAATACAGTGATTCTTTCTCCACTTTGAAAAACATGTTCACAAAACATCCACCCCATCCTCTCCATTTATTCCTTCTGGATTTCAGTTGGATTTAGGGTCTGAAATAACATTTCTAGTCAGTTATTAATGGCAGAAGGAGTCTCCCTGCCAACTGTTTTCATATAATACTGTATTCTAAATCCCTGATGTGATACTGTTATTTTAAGAATAAGTGGGTTGAGCTCACTAATGTACATTATGGCATCATGTAAAATAGACGTCCATTCTTTCTTAGCTTGAAATTAAATAATACATGATAGAAAGTGTATACTGAGTAATGCATGAGTCCTCTGTAACTACTTATTTTTGTCTCAAAGGTAAATGGTAAGACCCAATAAATAAGTCTGTTTCCAGACAAGCTAACTGTATTTATACATGTTTTGTTTAAAATATCACCAGTGTAGAGCAACTTCTTTATGCAATGCCAAGAGAGTCTTTAAACTCTTCATTTGCCTTTGTTTTCAATCCACCTGTTCATTTCCATTTCAGAATGTCTAGAAAAGACTGACATAACTTTTAAGGGTACAAAACCTAAATGTCCACAATTTTACATTCCAACAACTATTTAGTATCTCAGAATTTGACACAGTGACATTTAGTTCAAGAGCACAAAGCTGTCAACTGTTAACAATTCACATCAAGCTACACCTTCCTACTTTGTAATGTAGTTGCCTCCCTCGTCTAGGTGACATTTATTTGTGACGTTAATTTATGACTCAACCCACATATCAAAGGGAAGCGTTATGTGTTGGGGAAACATTACTACTAAGAGTAAAAGAAAAAGCCTACACCTCTACATTACTATAAATGAGAGGTGTGTTTGCTTATATTAATGAAGATATTTCTTTACAAAAGATCAATATGGATCCTGCTGCATCCATTTGACAGAGGAGCTTCGCCAGAAGGTTGCTGACAGCAGTGCTGGGATCTCAGAGCAGCTGTGTAGGATGATTCTGCCATTGTCAAGAAGTCTTTTTAGTCATTATTTTGCATTGCTTTACTTTCCTTTTCAGTTCCTCTCCTCTTATACTTCCCTAATCCCCTTTCTTGTTGTCCATTTTAAAATAAAGCTATAAAAAACATATGTATTAAGAGCATTTAATTTTTTTAAGTTTTTTTTTTAGATTTGTTATAAGAATTGTTCTCTCTCTAACCCTTAGCTCTTTGGAGGAAATGCACATGTTGTTTCAAGGACATTCATGATTAAGGATGATATTTCAAGATTAAAAAGGGGAATTCCCCTTGTGGTCTAGTGGTTAGGATTTGGTGCTTTCATGGCCGAGGGCCCAGGTTCAATCCTCAGTTGGGGAACTAAGATCCCACAAGCCATGAGGTACAGCCAAAATCATAAAAAAAAAATCTTTAAAAAAAGGGGGGTTAAATAAAAGTGTTGAGTTGGGCAGTTTCTTATATGACCCAGTAATCCATCTCCCAGATATTTACCCACAAGAAATGAAAACGTGTCCACTAAACACACAGACACACATCACCAAAAAAACCCCTTGTATATAAATTTTTTTACAGTAGTTTTATTCGTAACAGCTCAAACTTGGACATAACCCAGGTGTACATCAATAGTGAATGGATAAACAAATTGTGGTATATTCATACAATAGAATACTACTCATCAATTAAAAAAAAAAACTACTGATAAACACAACATGGGTGAATCTCAAAAACATGATGAACGAAAAAACTCTAGGCACAAAAGAGAACATACCTCATGATTCCATTTACATGAAATTCTAGAATAGGCAAAACTAATCTATAGTCACAGAAAGCAGATTAGTGGTTGTCTAGGACTGACGAGTGGAGGATTCATGGAAAAGGAGTAAGTGGAACTTTGTGGGAGGGAGATTAGAATGTTCTATATCTTGACTGGGTGTTTTATATAGGTGTATTCATTTGTCAAAAATGGTCCAAGTGTACATTTTAAATAAGTGTATTGTTACGTAAATTATACCTCAATAAGGTTTATTTTAAAAGTTAAAAAGAATTGATTACTGCTTGGTCCTTTTTTTGTTCTCACATCCATTTCTTCCCCTACTTTGCTCTCCTTGGTATTACAGGAGTGCTGACTCTTTCAAGCTGCATTCACCAGGTTCCTGGATAGCTGAGTTCCAGCTGCGATTTGCCCAGTGGGAGACATCAGCAGGAAACTAGAAGGTGGAAGGAAATGCAAAAAGCCAAGATATTTCTTCCCTGTCCCCTACCTCAGTCCTAATGCTTGCTGCTTCTCCTTTATAGCCTTGCTCCCCATGAACCTGTCCACTGGGATTCCAGCTTTTTTCTTTGACACCAGTCCCAGAGCTCCAGAAACATCATCTTCCATGTGTCCATCAACCTAGAGATGGTGGCTGGCTTTAGCTGCCTAATCTTGCCTGCTATGGATGGATTATTTGTGTGCTCCAAAAATTCATATGTTTAAATCCTAACCCAAGGTGAAGGTATTAATTAGGAGGTGGGGGTCTTTGGAGGGTAATTAGGTTATGAGGGCACAGCCCTCATGAATGGGATTAGTGCCATTAAAGATGAGGTGCAAGAGAGACGCCTCTCCCTTTCTAAATGCGAAAACACAGTAAGAAGACCACTGTCTGTCCCAGACACTGAATCTGCCAGCACCCTGATCACTGAACTCCAGCCTCCAGAACTGTGAGAAATAAACTTCTTTTGCTTGTAAGCCACCCCACTTATGATTTTGTCATTATAGCAGCCCAGTCAGACTAAGATACTGCTGTACCTTCCCTTTTGGCTTTTTAGCGCTCCTATCATGTGTGTAACTGATTTCCTGTATTCTATTCCCTCTGTTTTCTTAACTGGATCTCAATTAATACAATAACAAATAATACTTTAAAGAGTGATAAAAATATATAAGACAACTATAAATGGATTAAGCTGTCATTAAGGCAAGTCTAGGTTTTCAAAGGTGCTACTTGAACAGTGAGTTTACTTGAAGATAGCAGTAAATGATTTCCTACTATGCATATGTTAACTTTTAAGAAATACATGTTATATTTAAAACCTTAAAAAAAATTATGAACAGGCTGCCAGTGGTTCAAAGGTAGGGAGGGGAAAGATGAATAGATAGAACACAGGATTTTTAGGGAAGCAAAGACTATTCTGTATGATACTATAATGGTGGATACAAATCATTAGACATTTGTCAAAAACCACAGGACATAAAACACAAAGTGAACCCAAGTGTAAACTATGTACTTTGGTTAATAATAAAATATCAATATGGGCTCATCAGTTGTAACAAACATACCTCACTCATGTAAAATGTTAATAATAATGGGGAAACTGTAAAGGGGACTTACATATATCTCTGATTTGTGCCTAGAGAAATGTTTAAGGCTAGGCCTAATGATGAATATTAAATTGCAAATATAAAATTTTCCATTCATATTTTTTAAATGGATGGATAACTAATAAATAAGTACTTTGGAGACACTAATTGGATTGCATTGTCA